GGTTTGTTGCGGATTTTCTTCTACATTAACAGAAGAACTGACAAGTCTTCCATTGCAAATTATAGTTACATCTAGACGAAAGATCACATTTGAGAACATCTGTCTTTATAGTAGCATATTTTAGTTAAGGGCATTAAAATTTTTTATTTCATTCGTAATTTTACTTTCAAGTTATATTGGCAATGTTATGTATAGACAATTATACGTATTATTTTTATGGAGGACTCATATGCTTTGAATCAGATATTAAAAATGAGTAACTCGATTATAAATCATACAGTAAAATATATACTCAAAATTTTAGCAAAATACCGATACGAGATTTTTTAATAAAGGTTGCTCAGTTTTGCTTACTCTGCTCTTTGGTCTTTAATAATGCTGAATATTATTGAAATGCATAATTATTTTAATGATATTCTCGATGATTTTTTCGCCTGCTGATCTTTATTCCTTAATAAATATCCAATATCGGCCGATTGGATAATACTTGCAGAAAAGTTGTTGACTTCTACCGGATTTGCCACTCGGCGGCTGAACGGGCTATCTGCATAATGTTTCGGTTCCCCACCCTCCGATAAGTATGACGTACTACACAAAGCCACCTTTCCTAAGCTCTTGAGTAATTTGGAGTAATAAATTACCAACCAACTCATTTCTGTCATATTTGTTATTACAAAAAAAAGTAATTTTCACAGTGTATAACGTGCTTTTGTAAGAAAAAGTTATTAGACCTTTTTTGAGCAATTAGGTTACTTTTTGTAATGTTATTCAGCTGGCTATGAATAAATCAAATACAAGATTAGTTGGTCTAAAAAGAACATCTTCCAACGAGATTTTCCAACAATAATTTGTGCTGTAATTTAATTTTTTTTTCTTACTTCCATAATATTAAGTAGTACTGCAGGCCTCCAACTGACCGAAGCTTAAAACCAAAATGCAAAGTAATAAATGAGCAGATGTATGCTGAAATTTAACTTGCATGTGTACGGCCATTATATTTATTATTCATAGGCATCTTTGCTTTCCTCACATTGTCAACTAACTACTTATATATTCTCCTTGTTAATGCATATTAACATAATAGCTGATACATAAACCTAAGTAAAATTGAAGCAGAATTATTGTTTGAACAATGCTGAAAAAATGCAAAATATTCTGAAAATCAACTTATCTGTAGAAGCCACGTGCTGATATTCACTCAATGCAAACAATGCTGATTTCATATGGAAGTCAGAATATGAATTCGGATTAAGTTGAAGGTATGATATGCAGCAAAAAAGTAATAAAAAATTACACATTTTATACAAGTTACAGTTATCCAATAAATAAATAATACAAATTTAAAACTGAATAAAACAACTAATAATACTATACGAACTACTAATAATACTGCGAATAAAACTGCACATTGAGTAGATATAAATAGCGACAGTTTCAAAATCATGTATGGCTGTAGTTGACTTCTAGGTAAGCGTATACAAGGCGTTTCTAAAACAGCATGCATGTTATAACAGCATGCTGAATTTGTAACGACTTTTAATGGATACGATTGCTGATTTAAATGAACCGAACATCCGGTTTAAAAGCCAAAAGCAGCTAAAAAAGCTTTTCAAAGATTGAGAGCATTTTAAATTTAAAAAAAAATTGCTTCATGTTAAATTAAGTTATTGCACTGTCATGTTAAATTAAGAGCAACGACTTAATTTACTATGAAACTCTGTTTGAGCAAAATCATGTAAATTCGAAAAATACATGGCACTGATTGGATTTTTATCAGAAGATTCCATAATTCTCCAGTTGCATTTCAATACATTTGTTATTCCATTCTCAGTTGACATTAGATTTATTCGCAAGTGGGAAAATGTATTATAGAGAATATTAGTCGAATATGTAACATAAAAATGTTATTTAAGCAGACCTTTATAAATAGGTTATAAGGTATTTCTCCCACTTCCCTAGCTAGGCTTCGTGGTGTTGTGGTTCTGCACACTGGGCCGGTATTCCAGAGGTCCGTGGTTCGATTCCCGGCGAAGGCGGTTGCATAGTTTTCATCTTTCCTGCTTCAAATTGACCTAATGACTCTACAAGTGGCGCCCGAACTAAAAAGGGTTGTGGATGATGATTCTCCGCACCCAGGATTTGGCGACTAGGTGCCTTAAAACCCTAGTCGCCCTTTAAAAAGGGGAGTACATAAGATATTTCTCCCACTTCCCTAGCGAGCCTTCGTGGTGTAGTGGTTTTGCAGATTGGGCCGGTATTCCAGAGGTCCGTGGTTCAATTTCCGGCGAAGGCGGTTGTATATTTTTCATCTTTCCTGCTTCCAATTGACCTAATGGCTCTACAAGGTAAAGAAAAATTCCAAACGCTGAAAGGTGAAAAGTCTTCGTAGTCTGAAGATCAATCTTCTTTGATACATTTCATAACCTAGAATCTGTGTATGCTAACACCCTTCAAGAGATATTTAATTTCATAATCCTTTTTAAACATTCTGGATAAGTAAATATTAAATAATCATTAGCGTAGTTAAAGCATAGATGTTTCTTTGATAAGCTCTAAAACATGTATAATAACTTAGTGAATCTGATATATAGTAATAACTCTCCTAAATAAGCAAAAAGCGTTAAATCGTTTCAGAACATTTTAAGTCTAAAGATTTTAATTAGTTTTTATATTATCTAAGCCAAGACTTCCCAAAGAGGTCGATGATGATTAAAGGGTCAACTGGGGGTCAACAGTCGAATATACGCCAGCAAAATCAATATTCCTTTGATTAAAATAATGCTTTAATAAAATTGCTAATTAATTATTTTCTGTTACATAAATTAATTATTTTCTGTTACATAACTCTATAGTGCAAAGAAAAGTCTTTTTCAAAACGCAGAAATACGCTAAGTTTTGAAATTCTGAAGTTATTCAAAAAATTATTCCAAAAATAAAAATTGTTACCGAATCAGAATTATTTGCTTCCTCTCTTCTTACCAAGCCCAGCAGAACACTGGTATTTAGGTCATACATAAATGAATGACGCAAAGGTTGTAACAGACCGGAATACAATTTATTAACAAAAACCTGATAGCACATCAGTTATAAATAATCCCCGCCCATGTCAATACCCTTCTGTTATCTGGCTGGGAGATCCCGAAGGGCTTTGGTAAACCAGTCTGTAGGGCTTTTGGTCACTACCTATAGACAACTGCATGCAATTCGGCAGAAGATTCAGCATGTTGACCCCTGACTACATCCTTCATGTTGTCAAGTAAGGCGTAGTGGGAGGTCTTGGTTCGAGGTCCACTCATCTTGCACACTCATTTGTCATCTCCAAATCACCATGCATAATCGCCTGCAATGTTCCTTGCGCAAGTCCTGGCTCTCCCTGCATCTTGTTGAACGTTATGCACCTGTTCGTCATGATCAAATCCGACACGGCTGCCACATTTGCTGCTGTATGTGATTTTTCTGGTCGTCCCACGCTGACACCTTTGGCTGCAGTCTCCACTCCACTGCTGAACTTTGCCAACGAACGGGATACGGTACGCCTCCAGGGTGCTTTGTCCCCGCACACCAACACCATGCGACGATGAATCTCACTACACTGTATCCCTTCCTTCCATAGGAACCACGCTGTCCAACACTGACCGTGATAGTCACCTTCCATCATTACTGTCCACACTCTCAATGACGAAGACGAAAGGGACGGGCGCTGACTTATACTGTTCACTTGCGGCCAGCATCTATGCATTCTGAGTAGTTCACGCCCCCTTGTGTCTATTTCACTTCTTTTCCCTTCGCAACGTTTTCGCCGTTTTCTGTATGTTCAACGTCGATACGAGCCAGTTTCCCTTAAAAGTCCTCAACGAGCTTCAAGAAAACAGGAATATGTAATACTTTTGGTGGCTCTGATGATCATTGCGTGTGTGTGTGTGTATGATTATGGCAAAGCCTCGAGGGCTATCTGCCTAAGGGGAGGGATGGCTTCGTGGAGGACTTTCTAATGGAAACTGGCTCGTATACACGTTACACATGGGGAAAACCACGAAAACGCCCATGCAGCCAGCCCGTTCGCGGGATTCGAACCTCGGACCGAACTACCAGTGTTCAGCGACTTTACCGCTCGGCCGCTGATGGGCCTGATGATCATTGCATGTGGGAAGACAGGGTGAACGATGACGAAGTCGATGACAACAGTGACAGTGATGACGACAGCATTAAATAATTTGAACCCTAGCGAATAGCAATAGACGACAATAACAGCCGGCGAGATTCAAGATACAGGGAAGCAGAAATGAAGATATCTTATTAGATATTACGAAGTTGGTATTATTGTATATTTTTATTGAAAATATTAGGTTTAATTTAAATAAGCAATATTGTCATAACTATCGGTAGTTTATCCATGAATGCTTTTCCCTTCTTATGTTCTTACTATAGCCGCGTTTTTTGAAATTAAATTGTTCCATAAGTTTCTCCTCTTGATTTTCATATGACAAAATTAGTAAAGCAATCGGGGAAATACGCGAGTAAATATAGTATTATGTGTAGTCAGTTATGTTATGATTATGTTGTATATTTTAAAGAAAAATGTAAGGAAGTCGCTAAAGAAAACGGTTCCTTTAAAAGGGTTGATGCAAGAAAAGGAATCGCCGATCTAAAAACAGCATGCTAATAGCTAACTTTAACTCGCATGCTTGAATAGCTAACTTTAACTCGCGTCATTCTTCCTGCATGCGCAAACAAACGTTTGAAATTTGTTTACATACCAGGATGGAATGCTTCCTTGTTAAGTTGAAAATTAACCTAAATTATTTTTAAAAGATATGGAGTTTCTAGTTTCAAAATAAACTCCTTCGTTTGAAAATCTGTTTTATAATGTGTATTCCTCGCTAAACACAAAACATATGGCATTTGAACTGAAACTAAGAAGTAAATTACAAATATTATTACAATAACATGCTAACTGGAATTTATTTATGTATTTCTTAATCTTATTTTTTTTCTTTCAGGCTGTCTCAATATGATTCTGTCTTGTTCGAACGACATATAAAAGTTCTAGATGCCGATCGACTTTGATATGCTTCTGTCTGCAATAAATTCCTCCCCTGCATTCCCTTACTCTCCTTTTGTTGATGAAAATTTCTCTTTCCCAAGATCATGTTCTAATAATTACAGGAATAATGTTCGTTTAATGCGAAATCCTTTCCTACAGCCACATTCGAAGCATGAGTCAGTTGCCAATGAGAGTCTAGTATTTGAATCTTATGACAGCAAAGAGTCAAACAATAACACTGCTTCTAAAAAATCGGATGGCTCACGTAAGAAAAAGGTCTCTTTCGCTGACGACAAAGGCTTGAATTTGGTGGAGATTCGAGAAATACCTGGGGAAAGAAAATTATCTGCTGATGCTTTGACTCTTTTAGTTGGAGGCTTGGGATGTCAAGGGGAGAAAGAGAAGAATTGGAAAAAAGCATTCGAAAAACCACCTTGGACAGATGAAGAACTAATATATTATTTAGACAACCAGGTTGTCATTTTGGAATCTGTTTCTTTAAATGAAAGTGACGGTACACTGAGTGGTAAAATTAAGGTTAAAAATATATCATACGAAAAAGAAGTGTTTATAAGAATAACTTTTGACAGATGGATGTCGTACAGTGATATCACAGCCTTTTATGAGAAATCGGAAGAAACTAATTCAGAAACTATTTATGATACGTTTTCTTTTAACACAAAAATTCTCTCTACTGCTGAGAAATATGACGTAATTGAATTTTGTGTATGTTTCCTTTGTAATTCGAAAGAATATTGGGACAATAATGGAGGAGTAAACTATCGCATAGTTGCAGAGCCTTCGAAAATGTGCACAGTGCCAACATGCTCTCCTAATGAAACTAAACCTTACAAAAAAATGACATTCAGCATCACAGAAAATATGGAAAGAATTTCAGAAATCAACTCGTGGAGCAATTTTATGCAGAAACGACCCTACTGGTGAAAAGATATAAATATTAAAAGCTTTCTGTCATGACTGATTTAGTAATCTTGTTAGTCAACTTCAAGAGAGTTCCACTAGATTATGAAACTTTCTTGTAAAGCTTTCCGTGTCTTCTCGATGAATTTCGGAAATAGAAAATTCATAAATAATTTTAAATCGAATGCTTTATAGAGACTTGAACATGCTACCTCTTATGTAAAGGTACCAAATAATATATTTGTGGTTCATAGTTTTAATGTGATAGATATAATTTTATTGCTCAACTGATGTATATGTTGGCGAGCGTTTTTATTTTTTGCTATGGCACAATTTGTTAAAAAGGACATAAATGTACTGAATTTCAAAGTAAACATGTAATTACAATAAGTTATTTTTTGGGTGCATTTATATCTGAAATAGCATTTTAGAATTACTAAACTTCTATGTACATAAAATGTTAATTATGTATCAATTTCTATTATTTGTTTATCCTGAATAAACTTAGTGACATTTTACATGATTCATTTATGAATTAAAATGAAAGATATTTTCTGATTATATAACGAATATTAACATTCTCTTTATATATTTTGAATGGTTTTCTTAGCCTTCATTTCTTTTTATTGCATAAATGGCAATCGCGTTTAGTTTTAAAAAAGAAACTGAACCTGATACTTCGTCAGGATAAATGCTTTCCAGTTTCTAGTAAGTAAAATTTTGCCTGTCTTTATTTGCTGTTTTTCAGAATTTTTTTTTTAAATTGCGTTAATTTTCTCTAATACATATATATATATATAAACCAATAATTCATAATAATTTATAATAACAAAACTTTCCATATGCAATCTCCAAGGAACAGAAATTCAGTTTGAAAATATCAATGAAAAGAATTCTTAATCAGTATAGAACTGATACTTGAAATACATTGGGAATAGAGACAACGACTTCCTGCGCACTTGCAAATTTTTTTGCCTTCCGCAAATGTTTTCCAAAAGTATTAATAGCATATTATTAGCCATAACTCTCACACATAGCACAAGTAGTAAAATGCTAGATTCTTACAATAAAGTACATTAAGAGAAAACAGGAGAAAATTATGTGGACAAACACGTAGCATTATAGTAACTTAATACGGCTGCGGTATTTATTGGTTATAGATTATGGACATCCGTCCTGTAAGAAGAGGTATTTTCTGTCATTATCTACATCAATATTAGTTTATAAGGCGAAAGGACGTGAAGAAAAACATTTTGAGTTACAAGTACAAAGATTCATTTATTAATACCAATGTAATAGCAACAGGATTTCTTTCTAATAGCAAGATAAAGGGCAATGAACGCATTTGCTTCACGGTTGTCTATATATGAATCATCATAATTGTCATTAAATTTTAATATAAATACGCGTACAAAATTACAGGCATATACATAATAGAATATTCCATATATTAATGCATTAAAAAATTCTGCAGTACATCTCAAATAACTTAACGTTTTCTTCAAACGTTGTGACCTAGCGGCTTGGAGATATATAACTGCGTCCAGAAACAAATGAGCAATAAAATCCCTAAACATTGATAGTCTGACCAAGTCTGGCGGATGAGCTGGTTTCATGGAAAATTTAATGGCTTTCCCTCTGTGTAACTTGAATATATGTCAGTTTCCCTTGAAACGTCAGCCAGGAAGACATCCCTCCCTTTAAGCAGATAACTCTTACATGGTTTTCCATAGCCAAAGTAACCTAACTTGTTCATTATGAGAGAGGTAACTTGACTATTATAGAGTATGGTTCTATCAAAAAACTAACAAAAAAAAAAATCTTGAAAAAAAAAAAAAAAAAAAAAAAGAAACAAGACTAGAACCTTGAACTCTCGATTTTTACGAAACAAAAACTGTAAGTAAATCAGCTCATATAGAAATGCGTAACTGCGAAACATTTAATTGCTAATATTCTATACGTAAGCGATTAATAAATTGTAAAGTATAATGAGATTTGACAAATATGCCAGTTTTCAGATTTTTAAAAATGATCTGCATTCAAAATCTAGAAAGTCGACAAGACATCAGTTCACGCAACGAAACACAAAGTGATAAATGAAAAGCGAAAGTTACATATCTTTTCTTTTAATACACAATAACATAAAATGGTAGAATGACGAAAACTGGTAGGAATTTATTCTTTGAAAAATTAGGCATTTATTCTTTGAAAAATTAGGCATTTATTCTTTGAAAAATTAGCCATTTATTCTTTGAAAAATTAGGCCGGAATACAAGAAATTTTGGAAGTCGTGTTCCTAACTGTAGAAAGTTTTCTCATCCTAGTCATTTTAATAGTCATTTTAATGTGATACATATGTTACTTACTTAATGTGATAATAAGTATTCTGACTAAAACTGAATTTCTGAATTTATAGCACAAATAAGGCTAAGCAAAAAAAAATAGTTCAAAGCAGTAATCTGTTTCATACTAACTGCAATTAAGGAACTAAATCGAATTACAAGTTCAAAAAATGCAAGCCCACTAGCAACTGAGCGATAGAGTCAGTGAACAAAAGCAGTTCGGCCTGGATTCAAAATCCCGGCGAAAGACTGCAGAGAAGGTTTTTTTGGTTTCCCATGTGCAAGGTGAATACGAGTCTGTTTACCTCATTAATAATTTTTTAACATAAAATAATCAATACAGAATAGTCCTGCTGGTTATTTAAATATGGCAAACTACATGAGGGTTATTTGCCTAAGGATGCTTTCGTTTACTAGGGTAAACCGTCTCATATCCACGTTACACCGGAGGGAACCACAAAAACCAACCATGCAGCAAAAACCTTTCACATGGATTCAAGCCCAGGACGAATTACCAATATTCAGCTGTATTTAATTTACTGTTGGAGTTAGAATAATACAACTATCCTTATTCAGCTTAAAACCTTTTTCACATTTCTTCGTGCTCTGTTTCCGATGCTTTTAAAAGTAGCAGACTCAAGAAACTTTTTAATTTTTCTTCCCACTTTTTGGCATTATAAACAATACATCTAATAAATATTTCTTCATTACAATACTCCTATTACCCATTTTTTTTTCTATTCGATTAAAACTATCCAGCTTTTGGTGAATTGCCGAAATAATGATTTCATTTTATTCCTTATCAACATTTATATTTTTTATTAAAAGTTTAGAAAACGTTTTAAATAAAGAAAAATAAACAAACAAACGATATATAAACGGGAAATTTTAAATAAAGGAATAACTGAAAATGGCAAAAACATAAGAAGCAATTGCGAAGCCTTTACAGAATATTACTGAATGAAACTCTAATATCACCATCTTGCCTTAGGAATATCAGTGAAAAACAAGCCGAATTTTACGAAGTGCCTAAACGTTATATGGCCTGGTTTGGTTTATATAATTATGGCAAAGCACATTAGGACTATCTGCCTAAGGGGAAGGGAATCCTTCGTGGAGGTCTTTCTAATGGAAACTAGCTCGTATTTACGTTACACATGGGCAAAACCACGAAACCACACAGCCAGCCCGTTCTCCTAAATTCGAACCCCTACCAGTGTTCAGCGACTTTACCGCTCGGCCGCTGGTGGGCCCCTGACCATTGGATACAGAATTCTGACGCTTATGTTACATTGCATTAATAAAGTGATTATGATAGTATTTAAAATTCAAAGTCTAGGGCACACAAAACATAGATTAACTTAAAGACTTTTGTTTACATATTTGTGTTCAAAATACAGGGTGTCTCAGAAGTCTTGATTCGCTTTGTTTTTCTTGTTCATAATGAATTATAACTGCAACTGAAAAAAAATATTGCTTTTGTTTGTACAAGACATACAGCTACGCCGAGGACCGCAACTGAAGAAAGCTCTAAATGAATAAACAGACTGAATAGAGAGCAAATTGAATACGGATAACCGCAGCTAATTTCAGATGGCATTTACGATTCATTTTATTGTGCCCTTATCCTGCTTCAGTAAAACGCACAGTATTTTGCTATATTATGCGTAATTATTTTGGTATTGCATTCCGAAATCATTGCAATGTAAGGGCTCAAGAAGAATAAGGGCTCCACGTTCTTCAAATGTGTCATATCATGATAATTTGCCTGGAATGTTATGAAAACAGGGATGTACAGGATGACGCTAACAAACTAACATTTCTCATTCGAAATGGTTTGAACAAAATTACACTTTTTATGATGAGATAGTTTTTTCAGATCAACTTAGATGAAGTGCAGAATTTATGTAAAAGAGAAATAAGAATTTCAGTTGATGTGTTATAAGGTATTCTCCCGCCTTTTTGGCATGCCTTCGTGGAGTGGTAGTCTACACCCTGGGCGCGTATTCCAGAGGTCCGCGGCTCGATTCCCGGCGAAAGCGTTTGCTCATTTTTCATCTCTCTTGCTTCCTAAAAATCCTAACGTCTCTACAATGCAAAAAAATTACTATATGTTTGGATACTCTTAACTGCTACTGCTGTTAATAAAGGCTTTTTCCATCAAGTGAATGTAGAATTTTTGTATGCAGTTCACTTTTTCAAATTTCTGTAAATCGCTTCTGAATGATTAACTTCAGCGTTGTGCTCTTTTAGCAAATTACAGTTCACTGGAAGAAGAAATTCACCTGTGGTCTGAGTTTTAATATAAAAATGCATAAATGCGTCATGCAACTAGCTAATTTTATGGTTAATATAATAATAATCAGTCACTTAACATTAAAATTAGTGAGAAAAAAGATGCGGTTTTTATTAAAAATTTTGATTTACTTCCGAACCGCCTAAAGGAATTCTATTAATAGCCTTTTGCCATGGATATTTAATCTTTATCTACTCACAATGAATATATTTTCCAGAGCATTTCCGCAAAGTAGTCTTAGTTTTTATCTCTTTTAAAAAATTTGCTTTTCGAGTTACAGTTGAACTATCTAAATGCAGTTGCTATCACGGAGACATTCAATTGTTTAAATATATAAAAAATACGACTGATAAGATTAAACACGTTATTCACAACAGTAACCCTTTAAAAGCAGATAGCTGTCTTTTGCTATGCCGTGGTTAATTAAATAATCATAATGCAAGGTAATCATAGCAGTATCATAAATTTAGGAGAAAAAATGATGAAAAATTTTACTGGAACCTTCAAACTGTTTCGAAGTGGTTCAAGATAAAATGCATACAGCACTGAATTCAGCGGGAAAAAAATCTGATGATAAATACATCAGCGATAAAATTTGTGTCAAGGTAAATTCCTGTTGAAGTAATCCTTTAGACTGGGTTGTAACTAGTCATGATTAAATATATAAAGATTTTCTGCTTTCTCTTGAAAGGTCGTGGAGAAATTACAAAATAAATTTGACTTCTGTTTTAAATGTCGCGAGGGGTAGACTAGCAGCTAGCTTATTACAAATCAATTTTCAGACGAAATTTATAGTATTTAGTATATTTATGTTCTGTCACTCTCGGGCAATTTTTTTTTGTCTCTGCGAATTCTGTAACTGTATAATATTTTGCTCTGCTGCTCATCATTATTATTATTTTCATTTGTATTAACGTATTATGGGCCTCTTTTTTAAACTTAACCCAAAGTACTTCCTTGAAATGCTTAACATGAGGGAAGAAATAAAATTTATGTAATTTCGAAGAAACTATCACTTGTTTTGTATACTTCATTATTCATAAAAAGTTTTTGTAATCAAAAGTATTGTTGTTGAACATAGTACTAAAACTCAGTATTTAAACTTTCATTAGCTTTACGCATTAAATAATACTTAATTTATATTTAATGTCTAATATGTATTAAATAATATTTTAGAGATACATCAAGTTAAGCTTCTATTCAATAATACTCTGTACATGTAAATATACACTATGTACAACAAAGTCTTAAATGATCCACTGTAGAGGAATATTCAAACGTAAAAATTTAAAACGTTCTCAGCTTAAATTAAATCATTATCCTTTAAGACTGGTCCGCGATGCTTATGAAAACAGAATAAGATTTTTCCAACTACCTTATAGACATGATCCACCTTATTTTATTTTACAGCAAATGAACTGAAATAAGGGACATGTTACGTTTTAAAAATTTGCAGCTTATAATTTGAGCTTGTAAATTAAAGTTCGCATCATGCAAAATAATTTTTATAGGCTTTTATGAGTAAAACAGTTCCCGGCTTTTCTGCTATGTCTGTAAATTAAAGTTGGTATCACACAAAATAATTTTTACAGGCTTTCATGTGTAACAGAATTTCAGTTTATAATTTTAACCATATACAAGTATATTAGTCATATATATTAATTAATTTTAATCATACTATTAATAGCTTTATACATAAATGTAACAGCTCAGTGTTAATAGCTCAATGTAAATATTAATAGCTAAATATAAGAGTTCAGTGTTCACTATGACAAACACTCTACATTAATGCAGAATTTCTCCATTTCTCATTTTGAATTTTATAAGCAAACAAACTATAGCTTTCATTTTACTTTCCTAGTTTAATTAGGGATTTTTCAAACTGTTTTCACTCGAGCGAACCTTTGGCTTGCCTGAATACTGGTAGTTCGACGTCAGTTCAAATACTGGAACGAGCCTGGCTGCATGAATGTTTTCAGTGCTGCATGAACGTTTTTCAGTGCGGGCATGAATATGAATCGGTTCCTCTTAGAAAGTGATGCCAGATGACCATCACCTGCTTTGCTGTAGTCAAACAAACTACAGACTCCATTTGAACAGAAGAATTTGTTCATGACTTTCTTATTTGAGTAAACACGTAATTTTCGAATAACTTATTTATAATAAATGTTCGACTTTATTCAAATTTCAGAAACACTTGATTTCCAGTTGGTATTTGAATCTTCCAAAAGCAAATCTTCCAAAAGTGTATGTTCTACACGTTTCTTATCCAGCTGGATGGGGGAAATTAAAACAGATGGATTATTGCAGACTAAGTGACATTTAGAAATGAATGCTTTTAACTTTATGTATAACATCACTCGTGTAGTTTTATTAAGGAAAAGGTCCCAAAGGCCTCCTTTGAGTAAGAAACAAACTTGATGTCATTTTAATGCATATGTAGTAATTATGTAAAAAGTGATACTGTTGAGAAAAGATTTTGTTTAAATGAGAATGAAACTAGTCTTATACATATCCCAACTTTTGATAAATATAAGCTAATATTAATAAAATCCAAACTTCAGTCTCCAATGATCAGAATTTCTGTGTGTATACTTTTGTATGCGTCATTTTGTCTTAAATATTTAAAGCTAGAATGCATCTAAATTTTCTTCCGTGACATATGAAGGAAAAAAAGCCTGCAGTGCCATTTGCCGCTGGAAAGCATTCCAGCGTCTTCTTACGATGCCATTCTTTCACTCCAAGGCTTGTGACTACCAGGGTCTAATATTTTTGCACCCGCACTAGAGGTAATTCTAAATTAAGGACTTGGCAACTATCACTTCTCTTCCTTTTTTGAAACTGTCAACTTCCTTTTTGGAACCTAACAAGCAAGTTAACTGTTTGAGCCCTAATACTTTTAACAAGTATACCAATTACTCATATACTTCTGATTTACGTAGTTCGAAATGTTAAGTATGGTTTTAACATAAAAAATAATCTTTGAATAATTTGAGTAAAATGGCTTTATTCTTTTCATTATTTTTATAAAATCAGAAATGATAACTATTTGATCATTTCTAATCGTTAATATATATCACTTTTTTATGCTTACCAAATTTTAACCATGTTAAATCAGCAACATTTTTAAAACTTTTATCGAATTTCAGTCTTAAACCAATTGTTAAAAACGATTTATTTACAAATATATTATAAAACATTACTTCACAAGAATATGGTCGAAATTTTTTCAAAGAGTTTGAGAGTTTATGCATTTAATAAAGAAAATTTATCAAAGCAATGTAATTTCAAAGTAATTTGGTTCCATGTGACATACACTGACTTTTTAAACTCAGATTTCACATTTTCACAGTATTTGTTGTGTTCTGCTCACAATTATCTTCAACAATGACTTCATTTGTGTTTATGCTTACGGGAGAATCACGTTAAGACCTCATTGACTTATTGTGTTGTTCAGCATTTAACCGATTTTTCAGTAAGGTAAGATAAATGCCTTTTTATACCATGTGATAAGAAACAGTATATGTATTTAATGCAGAAACAAATTAGTCCATATTTTTGACAAAAACATTAAAATGCTTGAGGAGTATAGACTGAGTTTAAATTTAGGGGAATATGAATTGCTTAAAGATAAAAACAAATTTAAACTTTAACATATCTCAAAAAATACTTTTATTAGAAAATTCGGTGTATAATTTGCTCTTACAATTCGAAAACAAAAATACACTGCTGGCCACAGTAAATGCAACACCCTGAAGGAAGCATGCAAATAACATGAAATTTACAACACGCATTAGCGGAGGTGAGATATGCAAATGATTAGAATTTCAGCGCAGACGCACATCACGCGCGCCTGTGGCTCCGTTTCAAAGCGCTATTTAAGGCTTGGAGTTTTCGACGATTTCAAGTTCGGCAATTGTGTTTTTCTTGTGGTTTATTCAAAAAAAAAAAAAAAAAACGATCAATTATGCCTCGTAGTAAACAGCGATCATCGTTTGATCAAGTATCCGAGTTCGACAGAGGAAGGATAGTGGCCTACCGAGAGTGTAGATTATCTTTCAGGGAAAACGTAGTCGTGTTGGACGAAACCAAACAACTATAATTCGGATATGTGACCGTTGGATTCAGGAGGGTAGGACGGACCGACATGTTCGATCGCATCCACCTCAGTGCACCACTTCACGTGATGACAGGAACATTGTGCGCATGGCAGTGACCGATCGCTCAGTCACATCACGAACCATAGCACAGCACATTCAGTCTGTAACGCATCATCCAGTGTCTGTGCGTACCATTCGGCGCCGTTTACAGCAGGGTGGTCTGTCTGCAAGACGTCCATTGCTTCGTCTACCCTTGACACAGAACCACAGACGTCTCCTCCGCCAATGTTGCGATGAAAGAAGGATGTGGACGGCAGAATGGAATGAAATTGTCTTTACTGACGAGTCACGCTTCTGTCTGCAACACCACGATTGTCGGATTCGTGCCTGGACACCGTGGAGAGAGGATGCTGAACAGCTGCGTTATGCACTGCCACACTGGTCCTGCACTGGGTATTATGGTATGGGGCGGTATTGGATATCACTCTCGCACTCCTCTAATACGCATTGCCGGTACTTTAAACAGCCAGCGCTACATCTCCGAGGTGTTGGAGCCAGTTTTCCTTCCTTACCTTCAGGGCTTGCCCACAGCCATGCCATATTTCAACAGGATAATGCGCAACCACACGTGGCAGGCATTGTCCAAGGGTTCTTCGTCAATCGCCAGATTGAAATGCTTCCCTGGCCGGCTCGCTCTCCGGATCTTTCGTCGATAGAAAACATGTGGTCCATGGTTGTTGAGCGATTGACCCAGATTACATCCCAAGCTGCCCCACCGGATCAACTTTGGCAACGCGTAGAAGCTGCTTGATCTGCTGTACACTAAGAACTCATCCAAAGTCCCTTTGAATCAATGCCTAGGCGTATGGCAGCAGTGATCTCCAACAATGGTGGCTACTCTGGCGACTGATTCTGGAAGGAACCACACTTCACAGAAGTCTAAATTTAATCATTTGATACTTGATACTTTGTTGTGATATCTCTTGTCTTTCTTGGTGTTGTAATTTGGGTGGCCAGCAATGTAGTTTTAGTACCGATAACATGATTTAAAAATTAACTGATGATTTAAAAACAAAAATAATTTTTAGTACTGAAATACTGATAGCGAAGAAACCTTAATCTTACACATATATTACAGCTTCCAAGATAAAGGCTACAATGCTTATCAGAAAAATCGGTAAGAACAAGTATTCCCTCTCTCCGATTGAAAAGGGGCACAGTTCCACAGCTAAAAATCAGTAAAAATCTCTGAATCAAATTACTTTTTGAGTGTAATATTTTTGACTTATTTTATTAGTGAAAAGCATAAGGTTTTTTTTTAATATTTCTGATCTTATTATAATAAGACATTACTTCACACTTTTCACTTTTTAAATAAAATCCTTTTTCAAGAATCTCGCAGTTAATGAATAAGATCAAGATCAAACTTAGTTTAATAATATTAAAGGCTGAGAATTCTGTAATAGAAAACCAGAAATTTTTTAGTTAATTAGAAATGAAGTGAATCTGTAAGGGCCAATGCATGGTAGGAGGCTCTGAAACTGAAAGAATCATCATGTAGAATCTCCTATGCACCTAATAATAGTTAAACATTCTTCTCTGAATAAACTCTCAACCTCTCTGAGCACATTTCTAACCATGATTATTTTTAAATGTTTATTAATTGCATAGATATGTTTTATCATTTACAAAATACATACATTTTAAAGCTTTGTTAGATTTAATAAACTAGTTAAGGTTGAGTTAAATTGACATTACGGTTTTAAAATTTAGTTTAACTGATTTGAATTTAAAGCACTTCTTAAAAATTTTACATCTGTTTTATACTACACAAGAGGATGTGACTGACATCTAAAAATATTTGATTTTCATAAAGTTTTGTTAAACTTTTCGATATTAATAAAACTGTATTAGTTTTAAATCAGTTCTAGAAATACGAGTATTACACCTTTTTAATCTTATACTTGATGCTACAGAAATAAAAGTAAAGTTTAAAATGCTGCTTAGAAAAGGATAAGATATGAATCATTTTATATTTTTGTCAGTAATTATCTATTTTTTTTAACATTTAAATTGTTTGCAAACAATATTTTTCGCGGTATGTAAACAATTGTATACACAATTCCTCAGAAAATATTCTGTTCAAAGTGTCAAAGTTAAATTTGATCTTTTGCATGAAAATAACAGAAATGATAACACTAAAAATCAGCGAAATTATAATTAATCTAATTTGGTTTATTTGTTGATTCATTACAGTTGTCTTTCCAGAGGAAGAATTGCCTTCGTGATATTACCTACTTAGAAATTCGTAAAATTTCAGAAATTATCATTTATAAATTTAGTACTCAGACAGACAAATGGAAGGGAAAGTATTGCTGCGTAAATTTAACTATTATTGCAGTATCCATAAAATTGTAAGGGCTTCTGTTAATCTTTCTAACAGAATTCAAAGCCCTCTTTTGAAGAATTGTTTTGAATTTTCTGCAAAATATTCATTTATTACATTATCAAATATTCATTTATTCATTTATTCATTTATTACTGTTCCTCGTGAGAAATTTCTCTAAGAAACATTCAGTGCAGCAGTGCTCTAATAAAAAGTTATTGAAGGATACAGTAATAGTACTCTTAGATGAATGAGCAAGCATTTCAGAATTTCAGAAATTAAGCTTTTGTTTAATCCCTCTTGCAGTATGGTATTAGTGTTATCTTGGTGAAGAATCACAACAGATCTATTGATCAATGCAATTTTTTTTTTTTTTTTTTGATTAAAGCCCGTTTCACATTATCTTCTAAATGATGGCACTACATGTTCGGATTAGGAGTTTCTTCACTTTTTAAAAGTAAAATAGACCACACCTTGCAGATCCTACCATACCTCAGCGCCTTCTTTGGATGAAATTCTAATTTTTCTAAGACACTTAATAGATTGATAGTATTTTTCTGATTTTCTTTATTTGTATCTAAAACACGAGTGTGTATCTCTCGGGAAGGTTTGCATGAAGATATATCTCCCATAAGGCAGATAGACCTTGTGTGTTTTATTACGTTAAAAAGAGAAACGAAAGCTGTGAGAATTGATTTCTCTTATGGGCTCTACTACTGTCTTTTTCATGTTTCTCATCTACAGTCGTAATGCACCGTAAGGTAGATTCCGTTTCCTTTCTGTAAATGGTAGAGGGCAATTTGGTACTCGTTGCTGAAGGTTTTTAATTGCGAATTTGCATAGAACCGAAGCATCATCAGAAGAAAACTGCCCTACTCATTTCAAGTGATCTATTGCTATTAACCGAGCACTGTGAAGCCTCTCTACTCTATTTTTGCTAAATGATATCTAAATTTTTAACTTAACAGCATCCTCAATCCTTGTTTGTTTTATGTTGATTTATCTGATTGAGGCAAAGCACTCCAGAGGTATCTGCTTGAGGAGAGGGATGTCTTCTTGGAGGACTTTCTAAGCTCAGTCATTGTCTTTCATTTCTCTTGGTTGCCAATTTTAAGGCTTATTAGATTTTAAATTTCCACTTCAGAAATTAAATTAATAATTCTTAAATCCTTCCTTGATGCTGATGTTCACTGACAACACCTTGGAATATTCAAATCTTTTGTCTGACTGACCCCTGAAGCATTTCCGTGAAAAGATCACCTTTATATTTCCTTACACGAGTGATAGAAACCTTCGAATTAAG